TCTAGTTTAAAGCCGCCACCCTGCAACGTCCCCAGTGCCCGATAGGCACCGGTCACCAATTATGGTTAGTGGAAAGCGAGGGCAAGAGAAGGTCAGGAGCTCTGGACCTCAGGAGCTTCTGAAATGTGTTTTTATAGGCTCTGTGGCCCAGGAGAGGCCTCAGTGGAACGCCCAGCTCACCTACAAAGCTGCTCTGGAGGTGGGAGGGTCCTGCCCCAAAGAGGAAAGGCCACTGGCCCTGGCATCTCTTTGGGGGCTCTGGGGGCAGGGGATATAGTAGACACAGCCTGGTCTTTGGAGCCAGAGGAATGACTTCAAATGCTGGCTCTGCTATCTGGTTGCTTAGCAGGCCTGGGCCTAGGTTTTCTCGCCTACCGGGGTACTTACAGGAAAGGAAGGAAGCCAACAGAGCTGGCCACCAGTACGCAGCAGTCCTACTCTACCATTAACCTGTACTGCCGATGTGCGAGCAGCTTACGTCACCCTCATGGCACCCCGGCCGTCCCTCGAGACAAAGCCAAAGCTCAGGGGAGTGAAGAGGCCTGCCCACAACTGCAAAGGACTTGAGGCATGTTCTGACTTCAGTCCTTTCCATCCAAAATCCACATTCATTTCCTAGGGCTGCCCTAACCAATGACCAAACTTGGTAGCGTTAAACAGAAATGTATTCTCTCGAAGTTCCGCTGGCCAGAAGTCCAAAATCAATGTGTCAGCAGGGTTGGTCCCCTCTGGAGTCTCTGAGAACAAACTCCTTCCCTACCTCTCTCCTAGCATCTGGTGGCTCCAGGCAGCCACTGGCATTCCTCGGGTTGGGGCCACATATGCCCTCCCTCTGTGAATCTGTGTCACTGGACACACACCAATGAATAAAGAGCCTACCCTAATCAGGATGACTTCATTTTGAGATCTTTACCTTAATTACATCCACAAAGACTCTTATTCCAAAGGTCATTTCTGAGCTTCTAGGTGGACACGGCTTTTGTGGGCCACAATTCTACCCACTACAGTCCACCCTCAAGTCCCCAAAACTTCATTCACATCCATCCCATGTGCAAAATACTTTCACCACATCCCAACATCTCCAATTTCTCACCCCATTAGAGCATACTCTAAGTGCAAAATCTCATCTAAGTATCATCAGATCAAAAATAGCATTTAACCCACCTAATCAGGCACGGGTATGACCCATCCTGGGGCCAAATGCCTCTCCACCTGTGGATGTGTGAAACTCAAAAACAAGTTTTCTGCTTTAAAATATAGACACAGGGAGTGGGGAGGGGGCACGTGCCTGGGTGGCTCAGTCAGTTAAATGTCTGCCTTCGGCTCAGGTGATGATCCCAGGATCCTGGGATCAAGCCCCACGTGGGGCTCCTGCTCAGCCGGGAGCCTGCTTCTCCCTCTCCCTCCCACTTGTGCTCTCTCTCTCTCAAATAAATAAATAAAATCTTTAAAAAAAACTAAAATATAGGCACAGAGAAAAAATGAAGGGAACACATAAGTCACTGGACTCAAGCAAATTTGAAATCTGAAATCCAACAGAGCAACTTCCATTAGCTTTCCTGGCCTGAAAATGACCCTCTGTGGCTTGGTCCTCCACCCTCTGGGCCCACAGGCTTCACTGGCCCCTGCCTCTGGGCTCGCCTCCCTGGCCTCTGTCTTTGTGTCCATGGCTCTGCCCCTAGAGTTATTCTCCCTCTCCCTAGAGTTAGCTGAGTAATTCTATCAGTCCATTTCCAACAATTAGAATACCAGAAGTCCAACTGCTTTTTTTTTTTAGACATTTCGTCGGGTTTGTCCCTTTCAGCCCGGGTTGGCAGTGTTTTTGCTGATACAACATTCTCAAAAACCTTATGGGTCTCTCATGTATGTCAAGGGGATCTCCACTATTAAACAAGAGGGTTCTCCACAGATCCTTCCTGGAGAAGCCCGTCTCTAGTCCTGGTTTCTGCTGAGATGTTTGACTGGATCCATGAGTCACATCCCTAACCTCCACAGCAAAGGCTGTCCAGCATCACCGTTGGCCTTTCTCCAGAGCGTGCTTTCTCAAAGTGAATTTCCTACTTTTAGCATCACTTGGAATCTGGAAAGGCTGAGAATCTCCCAAATCATCAAGTGCAGGTACCTTAGTTCCACCTTCAATTCACTCCTTTCATCTCACATTTTACTATAAGCAGCAATGGAGAAAGCAGGCTGCACTTTCTACACTTTGACTGGAAAATTCCTCAGTCACATATTTAAGTTCACTACTTACAGTTATGCTTTCCCTGCCTAGTAAATTAGAGAATAACACAGCACTAGAGAGTTAAAAGGTAGGCTGGGAGAAATGGGTGAACAAAAGCAAGAAGAGAATTAAATTTATATTTGCCAAGTACCTTCCATGTGCCCAAGTACTACAGATCAGTAATGGGACCCTGATAGGCAAGTTCCATCTTTATAAGGATGAAAAGAGTAGCCAAAGGGGTGCCTGGTGGCTCAGTTGGTTAAGCGTCTGCCTTCGGCTCAGGTCATGATCCCAGGGTCCTGGGATCGAGCCCTGCATCAGGCTCCCTGCTCGGCGAGAAGCCTGCTTCTCCCTCTCCCACTCCCCCTGCTTGTGTTCCCTCTCTCGCTGTCTCTCTCTCTGCCAAATAAATAAATAAAATCTTAAAAAAAAAAAAAAAGAAAAGAGTGGCCAAAGACCTCAGAACATGTCCCCACTCAAACATCCCTGTCTGCTTAATGTGGCTGACTCTTTCTGCCTCGGCCCTCCCCCATCCTATACTTTGGTCAAGCATGGTGGCCACTGATGTTATCATCAAACACCTTTTCCTCCCTCAGGTACTGCACTTCAAAGTCTATGTCCCATAGCAACCTCTTCTGACACCACCTTCCTGCTCCCAGCTGCTCTCCCAGGCTGCAAACATGTCCTCTCCCAAGCCAGAAGGGATACTGGATGAGGGTGGCCCCCCGGGATCTGCTTCAGGGAGCACCCAGAAGGCAAAGAAATTTACCATTTGATTCATTCTCTGTTCCAGCTGAGAATTAACACGCAGCACTATAATAATCTTAACTTTGTTAAATATAAGTTTGGTTTATTTTCATAATTTTGTGCTTTATTTTTTTAAGATTTACACTTTTAGTCCCTGGCGCAACATGGATTTGATTTAAGTGGTGTTTATCCAGGACTAATGGTCTTCAGAGGAGAATCTACAACAGCCAGTAGAGGAGGGGATTCTGACCCTAGGACTCGGGTCCTATGTCAGGGGAGGCCCTGGGACTCGGAAGGGCAGGGCTTCGTCCTTCAACTCCTGCTGCCACCCCAGGAAGCCCTGCAACCTGGCCAGTCTCAGGCCTATAGGGGAAGCTTTTCTTGTGATTGGTCCTCCCTGGTCAGGAGACTCTTCCCTAATAACTCCAGCCCGGCAGAAGGAAGCAACAACCACAGCACCATAAAATGAGTGGAGCGGGGTGATTGAAACCTGAGATCTCCTTTACCTGGGGAAGCCCTGTTCATTCCTCTCATCCCTGAAATGCCCCTTTCCTACATTCTCCCAGGCTATCCTAGACCAGGAAGGGCCAACACAAGGTATAGGTGCCCTTGCCCTCTCCTTGTTCAGGGCAGCCACTGTTATCGTGGTTCTCCCCCACAGTGTGATAGTGTATTTTATGTGACAACTAGGCTGAGCCACTGTACTGATGGGTTTGGTCGAGCATTATTCTGGATATTTCTGTGAGGGTATTTTCTGGATGAGATTAACATTAAGAGGAGCAGACTCTGAGTAAAGCAAAATACTCTCCATAATGTGGGTGGACCCCATCCAATCAGTTAAAGGCCTGAACAGGAAGACTGACCTCCTTGGAAGAAGAAGACATTCTGCCAGCCAACAGCCTTCAGACTTGAACTGCAACTCTTCCCTGGGTCTCCATCTTGCTGGCCTATCCTGTGGATTTTGGACCTGCTGGGCCTCATAATCATGTGAGCCAATTCCTTAAAATACACCCCTTTCTCTCTGTATACATATATACACATGTCTTTTTAGTTCCGTTTTTGAGGAGGACCCTAATACATCTAGTGAGCCAGACAGTCTTAGCATCTGTCTCAACACAGCCCTCGAGGGAGAACTCCCAGTTAGCAGGCAAACTGAGTTCACTGACTTAGGGCTGTGAGTGCATCTTAGTACACGGGGCCAAGTGCAAGCTTCCATGTCCCTGCACTCCAGGTTCCTTTGAGAACTAGACAGCTGCCCTGGACCCCAGATTTCTTCTTAGGATCTGCCTGGTTCTAACTAGCCCTTATTGCCCACCCTTTATTACCCCTGAAGAGAAGGGTGGTCAAGGAACGTCTGTTTCTTCTCCAGTAAACTAAAACCACAAGAAAAGCCCACTGAAGATGGGAACTATCAAGGTCACTAAAAAAGCTTTCAGATCAGAGCCAGGCCAGTGATTACCAGAGGTGGGCGCAATAGGGAGACACGCAGCTGCCCACAGGTCTTCCAAGGGATAACATGGTATCTACTAGTGGTCACTACCAGTATAAAACTCATCTGGATATCCTCCAGATTGTATGACTCTGAGCGACACAAGATTGTAATTGTGTTTAATTTGAAATTCTTGTGGCGAGGCAAAAAGTACCCAGAAAGAAGTCCACGTATACTTGCCAGCCTGAGGTATGAGCTTGTAGAAAGGGAGTGTACACCCTGCACCCTCACTTGTTGACCATGTGATCCTGAGCCCACTACACCTTCTAGAGCTTCCATTTCTTCATCTACAAAGAACACCTACTCGGGAGGCTCATCACGGCACATCATAGGCCTCCAATACATGGGTATTGTTATGAGAACTAGGGAGAGTGGTGCTTCTAGAATCCAGGCAGGGTAGGAGAGAAGAGGGAGCAGAGCAGAGCCAGAGGCCAGCCCCGGGGAGCTGGCCCAGCAGGCTCAGCTGCTGGAGAGGCAAAGGAGTCATCCCTCTCCCTCACCACTAGAGAGACAAACAAAAACGAAGGACAAAGCAAGACTGACCTTGAGGGCGGGAATCTCCACACTGTCGCCGAGGCTGATGGAGCCTGAGAGGATGGTCCCTGTCATCACAGTGCCTTGGCCTTTGATGGAGAAACAGTGGTCCACAGACATGAGGAGTGGTCCCGAGGGGTCTCTTGTCGGGATGGAAATCTGGGATGTCAGGAGCTAGAAAAGAGACGCCACACGCTGGTGCCACACACTGCCGGGGAGGGGAGCTGAACCGGGCAGGGCGGAGCAGGGCAGAAGGTGCGCCTAGTCCCTGGGCAAGCTGGCCCCGCTCGGAAGCGGACGGCTCCCTGACGGCAGCCCAGACTGCCGCCATGCCCTTGGCTCCTCTGGGTTCGAAGGAAAAGGGCACCTGGAGAAGCCTCCTCTCCCCTCTCGCTGGGGTAACCAACGGCCTCCCAAAAGGCCGGTGCCGGGGCCCTCCCCCACAGCGCAGCAGAGCCAGCCTGCTGCGCGACAGCCTGGGGCACATCGACTGGACCTCACCGGCCTTCCCGGCCTTCCCAGCCTTCTGAGCCCGCAGGATTTAAGATGTGTCATCGTCTAGCCCCTAGCTACTGGGGAAGCCTCATCCCCCTCCACATGCCCTCTCACAGCAGGCACCAGCCACTGGCAGGCCCTGCAAGCTCACCAGCCAGCTTCGCCTCCCCTTCTCCGGGGAGACACCGCCCCTGGGAAAGCTTCTCGGCCCCCTCTGCATGGCTGCACTCCCCGCCCCCATCCCCCGTTAACATGCTGTTGTGAGCATTTGCTTGTTTGTCTCTCTCCTAGGGCCTGAGTCCTTCCAAGTATCTCCAAGCAGCTGGCACGGGGCCTGAGAAGCACAGGGGCCCGAAGGCCCCGGGTGAGCAGGGCTGTGGCCCTGTATGGCGGGGCGGGAGGGGGTGAGGTGGTGGCTCCAAGCCCAGGCAGAGCCGGGGGACCACCTAATGTCTGCCTAGGGCCAGTGTTGCCCCCTCAGTCTGCAGGGCTGCTGCTTCTGCTCCTCTGACACTTTCCGCGCGCTTCAGCCGCAGCCGGCCCGTTTTCCTCATGCTGTCTACGTGCTTGCGGATGTCAGAGCTAATTCCCAATAAACAAAGGAAAGTAAAGACTGCATTATTCCTTCTATTTGGCTGCTTTCAGATTTCGTTAGCAAAGAGGCTGTCAAAAAGTATTTGGTAGTGAATGTTCCAAACTCTCAGCCTTGTGATAACAATTCTTCTGGAAAAAAGACTAAAGATTCAAAACAGGCTTGGCCTGGGATTTATGCAGAGGCTTCTTAAAGGAATACACAAACATCTTTTATAGCAGCATTTGCGAGTTTTGCTTTAATAAAAACAACTGTCCAAGGCTCCCAGACCACTGCTCTCTGAAGCAGATGAAAAAGTAACAAAAGCCTCAGCCAGAAAAGGTTTGCTTTGCCAAGTCAGTTGCAGCAGCACCATGTAATCATAGAAACGGTGGCAGTGCACATGATCGCATCTGTTCTTGACTCTGTGGGTCCAGGTGCAGGGGGATCCCAAAGACACCCCAACTGATCTGGGACTGGATGCCAGCTCCACCACATACTTGCTGTGAGACCTTAGGCAAGTTACTTAACTTCTCTGAACCTCAGACTCTTCCCTGGTTAAGACGGGGATAAATAATGTAAGCCCCCCAGCACCACTGTGAAAGTCCATGACCACTGTGAGAGGTGTGTAAAGAACACTACAGCTCCTGGTATGTGATAAGCACCGTCGCTGTCATAGTAAACTCTGATATAGCACCCTTCTGAGCACAGGACATGTATTAACCTCATCTAACCTGCACGCCAACTCCACAGCTAGTGTTCTTTTCCCAATTTTACAACTGAGGGAACAGAGGCAAGAGAGAGCAGGTCACGTGCCTAAGGCCACACAGAGAGCAGGTGGTGGGCCCAGCGTCCAGCCCCAGAGTCGCCACTCCACCCTTCCGACTGAGGGACACTGTGGTCACTGCCATCCTCACAGCAGCATCACCACCACCCCACCACACCCGCCCTGCCCTCTGGCTGCCCTGGGCACCCTGTGGTGGCTGGGCTGCCTCCCTGCTTCTACTACCACTGAGCCTGGAGGAAAAGCCCATGCCTCAGAAGCGCCATTATTTAGTGGAGACCACGAGGCCCTGAGCAGCACTGCCCTGCTGCTGGGCCCGTCTCCATCAGCCAGTGGGACACACTGGGGGACTGGCACAGTCTGAAGGCCTGGAATGGAAGACATGGTTTGGAGCCCCAGGAAGCAGGAGCTGCTCTGAGTGGAGATATTTGACAAGAGAAAGGAAAAAGAATGACTTACAAGGGTGTGGACAGCTCGGTAGGACCTTGGGCTAAAGACTGAGGCCTCTGCTTCTGTTTTGGTTTAACTCTTTGGAGGGAAGTGAGGAAGGGTACACTAAGGTATGCATGTGCCTGGGGGAGGGGGGGCGGTAGTTAAGGGAACAGCTCAGACTTTTTTGCTAGGGTGCCTCCCCCTTCTCTCCCTCTCAGACTGAGCAGGATACAAGGGGCCTGAGTGGGGCTGGGGCCAGAGGCCAGCCTGGATTCAAGCAGACAGTACCTCAATGAGCTCTGAGATGCCCTGTGGAGCTTCTGTTTCAGGGGCCTCTGGCCCCCCAGGCTTGGCCGCCACGGGTATAATCGGAGCACCTCGGAACCTGAAATGGAAAAACAAGTCCTACCAAGTTACAGAGATCATCAGCATGGATGAGCAGCAGATGAGGAAACGGAGGCCCCACAGGGAAACCCTTAGGTTGAATGATAAAAGTTAAAAGGATGCTCCTAGGTTTTAACCTTCACTTTCACAACCCACTCTGAGGAGGCAGCAGTGAGCCCTAGCTCCCAGGACTCTGAATAAAAGACCCCCTTGAAGAAGACCAGTAAATACATCCCAGCCTCCTGCACAGACTCAGGAAATACTGGTTTATCAAAAAATCTCTGAAGGGGTGCCTTCAGTCTTTAAGCGTCTGCCTTTAGCTCAGGTCATGATCCCAGGGTCCTGCAATTGAGCCCCACATTGGGACCCCTGCTCAGCGGGGAGCCTGCTTCTCCCTCTCCCTCTGCCTGCTGCTCCCCCTGCTTGTGCTCTCTCTCTGTGTCAAATAAATAAATAAAATCTTAAAAAAAAAAAAAAGTCCCTGAAGATGCACCTGGAAACATACTTCCACCACCCCAGTGTCTAATGGAGGGTATTCCTGCCTGGACCCTCCTGAAGAGCTCCTCCTTCTTTAAGAAGACATTCTTCTTCTTCTTCTTCTTCTTCTTTTTTTTTTAAGATTTACTTATTTTTTGAGAGAGCACAAGCAGGAAGAGGGGCAGAGGGAGAGAGAATCCTCAAGCAGACTCCCCGCTGATCATGGAGCCAGATGCAAGGCTCAATCCCAGGACCCTGAGATCATGACCTGAGCCAAAACCAAGAGTCTGTTGCTTAGCCAACTGAGCCACCCAAGTGCCCCAGAAGAGATTATTACGATGAGTATACATTTATTTTTCCACTGATAAAAAATAAAATGGAAAAGAGAAAATATACAACCCATAATCCTATCATGTATCATAAATAATTTTCTGTTCAATGATAGCAATAACAGTGATATAATGGCAAATAAACTAGGAGGATGTGAAATTTTATGTATGCTATAACCAAAATAAAAAAAGATTCCTTGGCAATGCATGGAAAAACCAAGGTTAGAAGAAAGGGCACTCCAATGGCAGGATTTTGGGTTGTATATTCATCCTCTAAGTGTTAGCAAAGTGTTAGCAATGGCTGAGCCAAGCATATCACCTGGACACCTTCTGTGAAAGCTCTCAGCACCACTATGGGACTGTCACCATTTTATAGATGAGAAATTGAGGCCTAGAGAGGCGAATTAATTTGCTATAAGTCATTTACTATAAATCTCAGAGCCAAACTCTAACCCAGCCCATCTGACTCTAGAACCCAAGGGTCACAGCTTCCATGTTATAATCCTACTGCCCAAGCCTCCTCTTTCATTTATACAGCTGCATAACAGTGTGACACAGAATTTACATGCTTTCCCCCACTAATGTTACTCATTTAGAACATTTTGAATTTTTCACTATTATAAATAACACTGGTAAACATGTTGGTGGACATGCCTGGCTTTTTTTTTCCCTTGCTTTGGGATTAATTCATGGGGTATAAGTCTAAGACTCAACATACATTGAAAAATCAGCAAAATGGTGGAAATAGGACAATCAGAAAGCCTTTTCTCCATAAAACCAATAAGAACACAGGCAAAAAAATCATCAGAAGCAACTTTTTCAGAACTCTAGAAATTAACCAAAGGTTTACAGCAATCTGTGGAATGTTTATTCAAGAAAAATGGCTGAATCTTGGTAAGAACAAAAGAGCTTTGTGGCATTTTAACTTGCCTTATTCCCATCCACTCCTCCCTAACTCTGCAGTAGCCTTAATAACCAGCATCTGCTATTAGAATGGAAGCCAGCAGCCTGACAACCACTGAGGGGGCAGAATGGGTCTGAGTTCCATCAAAGCCCCTTTCCTAGAGAATTGTCATTATTTTTCCTTTCCTTCCTTCCTGGAAGACTCCACTTGCAAAGCTATCTTTATTTTTCCTCAAGGGCATTTGCTGAAAACAATCAGAGGCAATTGTTTAATATCACAGCTGCCTGAGGGAGGATAACAGTTTGGGTACATTGGTTGACCAAACAGCTTAGAAGGAAAAGCTAGGAGCTTCCATGGGAGCTGAGGAAAACTTTCCATGGGAGGTTTGGAGCTTTCCTGGGACTCTAGAAGGCTATCTGCAGGCAAAAGCACTATGCATGGTCAGGAAAAACATGAGAAGGCGCTAAGTTCTTACCTCTGGCTGACCTTGAGATTCTATGCAAACAGGAAGTGAAGGCCAAGGCAGAGTTGTCAATTGCCTGCCTGAGCACTGAAAGCATGCCCCAATATGCACATAGAGATCCCTGGCAAAATTGGGAGACTTATTGATTCTAGGCATCTAAGGAAAGCTCTAATCAGTAGCTGACCACTAAGCTAACTGAGCAGAGACTTCAGTGGTCACACATGACTTTCAGAATTACTTCACAAAAGTCACTAATCAAATTAAAAACCAACTATGAAAGTGTGGGTGAAGAAGAGAATCTGATGTCCAGAACTGCCACATTATATTATTCTGTAGGTGCAGTTTTCAACAAAGAATCACAATACAACAAAGGAACAAAAGTATGGTCCATACACAAGAAAAAAAGGAGTTAATAAAAATTGTTCCTGAGAAATACCTACTAGACAAAAGTCTTAAATCAGCTATTTTAAATCTGTTCAAGAAACAAAAGAAACCATTCTAAAGAGCTAAAGGAAAGAATGAAGATAATGTGTCATCAAAGAGGAAATAACAAAAAAGAGATAGAAATTATAAAAAAAAGAAACAAATAGAAATTTTGGATTTGAAAAATACAATAACTAAAATGAAAAATCGGCTAGAGGAGCTTAAATAGCAGATTTGAGCAGGCAGAAGAATCAACAAACTTGAAAATAGATCAACCGGGATTATGAAACCTGAGGAAAACAAAGAAAAAAGAGAGAAGAGAAATGAACACAGCCTCAAAGATGTGAGACATTATCAAGTATATCAACAGGTGCATATTGAGAAGTCCAGAAACAAAGGCGAGATGGGGCAGCAAGATCTGAATAAACTTCAAAAACTTCCAAAGTTTTTGAGGATATCTAAAAAGCTTAGCAAATTCCAAGTAGGAAAAACTCAAGAGATGTGACCTACACACATCATAATCAAACTGCCAATGGCCAAAGACAAGGAGAAAGCAGCAAGAGAGGAGGCTCACTCAGCACAAGGCATCCTCAATAAGAGTAACAGCGGATCTCTTCAGAAACCATGACAGCCAATCCCAAATACCTAAAGACAAAAAACAAAACGAAACAAAAGCAAAAAAACCTATCACATAGCAGACACTTGATAAATATTCATTAAATAAATGAATAAATGAACAAGTTAAAAAAAAGAAAAGAAAAAAAGACACCATGGCAGCTAGAAGGTAATGGGATGATATATTCAAAGTGCTGAAAGTTAAAAAAAAAAAAGTCAACCAAGACTTGTGTTTCTGGCAAAAAAACATGCTTCAAAAATGAAGGAGAATGTAGAATTACCATATGGCCCAGAAATTTCCTAAGTATAAACCCCCCAAAATGGAAAATAGGTACTCAAACAAATACATGTACATGTACGTTCAAAACAGTACTAGTCACAAAAGCCAAAAGCTAGAAACAGACCAAATGTCCATCAATGCTAAGTGAAAAAAGCCAGACACAAGAGATCACATATTGTGTGATTTATATGAAATATCCAGAATAGACAAATCCATAGAGACAGAAAACAGATTGGTGTTCCCAGGGCTGAGAGAACAGGAAGCAGCTGCTAAATGGGTACAGGGTTTCTGAAATCAGATAGTGGTGATGCTTGCATAATTCTGTACACATTAAAAGGGTGAATTTTATGGTATGTGAATTATATCTCAATTAAAAAGAAAAAACATACATTGAAAGGTTTGCTATTTTTTTCACTACCATAATAATTATCTGTGATGTCTATTTCACTAAACATACATCAAAAGCTCCTTATTTTTTATGCATACATTTTAATTTGTATTTCCTTAATAAGCCATACAATGTTGAACATCTTCCATCTATTTATTTACTAAGTATACTTCTGGGGAACATTTCCACACCACTTCCAGTTCTGGTCTTTGCTTCCTCCAGTAGGTGCACCCTCACCTTCCCCAGACTCTAAAAACCGCTCTGAAGTGCGTCCCTGTATGCAGTCCAATGTCCAACACAGCAGGAGCGAGGGAAAGGGACGGGGTCAAATACAATGGTACCAGGTGCTGTAGGCTTTGCACTCCTCATCTCATCAACCCCACGAGGTAGCTGTTAATTACTCCTTCTCCGGTTTTACACAAGGGGTCCTAAGTTGGCTAGGGTCTGTCATTTGCTCCAGGTCACACAGCTAATGAGTGGGAGGGCTGTGATTAAAAGCCAACTCTGGGTTTACCATCTACCTGAGAATATCAAGAGAGTTAGAGGCATTCTCAAATCCGTGAGAATTTGGAAAGTGGCTGATCTTCAAAGATCAGGCAACATAACATATTTAAGTCCTATAAACAGATTAACAAAATCCTTGCCCTTTAGTAATTTTAGTTCTCAAACCAATGAAAGAAAGATGATGATAGCTATAATGACAGTATTCAGTATCTCATAGTTTGCTGTCACTTTCAAATAAAGACATAAATTTACTGGATCCTTAAAACAACCCTTGGAGGTAGGAAGAACAGTTGTTAACATTCCCATAACCTTAGTTGAATACTATGTGAATGGCACTTGGTTAAATGCTTCCATCACCCCATTTAATCCTCATGGTAATGATGTGAGGGATAAAATCGGCATTTTAGAGATGGAGAAACTGAGGCACAGAGAGGTTAAATGGCTGCTAAAGGGTCATATGTGAAGTAAATGGCAGAATATAGGAGCTGTGTTCCAGAGCTCTGTCCTTCGCACCTATGCTGGACATCCCAACAATGACCTCTACAAAAGCCAAAAGGCTCCCTTCCCCAGGAATGACTACTGCGTCGGATGTCACAACTGCTCCTTTGAAACATAAGA